AGAAGTAAGTGTTTATAAGGGAGTATTTCCAAAATATGTTTGATTTATTACATGAGCAATATCTTAGCAAACTGAAAAGATAAGAGGTTTTTATTATCGGTAATTTGTGTTCCTGATTCATACAAAACTATAGACTTAGTATTGTGACATCACAAACATCTAATTTGAAACAGTGCTGCATTCAACATACCATGTGGCACACAAAAATCAATGTTTCTCTTTGTTTTTTTTTAGTATTTGCTTTTAACTTAAGAAATTGAGTAATATATAGTACTAAAATGTGAATTATAATCTACAGTGTGATACCAAACTTATTGACATAAATTTAAGAAATAGCAGTTCAATAAAATTTTGAATGCAAGTCAACTAACGTGATGACATGGCTTTTCACTCATGACCCGTCTGGAAAGGGTTAAACAAGGTCTGATATAGATTGTATACATTTATGGACTATCATAAGTAAATCAGGCAGGGGATTCCTGCCCATCATCCTCCATGCCTAGTTTAACACCTAGTGTTGGCCTGCTTTTCAAAATGGGGATTTTGTGGTCTTCCATTGCACTGTTTTATGGTGATGCTTTCCTTCAGACTCTCCAATGTGCTTTCACTCCATTTTTTCTTCTAGTGGAGCATGGGAGTTCTTACCACTTATCAATTCCTAGTTGCTGGGGTGATGGTCCATGGAGGCTGCCTCCTGAGTGTGACCAATTCTACTCAATAGAGAGTAAGGCAGAGCAGTTCAGCCCTCTGGCTGGCTTTCTCCCATCCTACTGCTACACGGATGTCAGTTTTCAGGGTGGTCTGGTGTTGGATTGACACAGGACCAACCAAAATAAGTCCTCGCTCAGTTGCAGTTCTTATGTCACATTCTCATTCTCTCTTACTGGGCTTAAGATAAATATGGTAGGGATCCTTCTTCTACCATGGCTCTGAAGCTGAATTCCCAGTGCTGCCTGGTTTTGGACTGGAGTTGTCCCACAACAAACTGTCTGACACATCTTATACACACTACATATATGACACTTCTAAAAGCTGGTTGCTGGTGTTGGGTTGTGCTTATATCTTCCCTCTGTAATTGTGAAACTTCTTTTACTGTCCAGACGAAGAATGTATCCTGGTACAGACAAAGTGCAATCTCCTACCAGTGTGCCTCTGTATATTTTCAAGATATAGGGTGTCGCATTCTATGGGTACCCTTTGGGCACTTCCCGAAGGGATCTCCTGTAGGTAAAATTTTGCACCAGTCCTTCCACCACTTCAGTGTGAGATTCTAGATATGCGTGAGAAGAGATTATGTATATCGTACTTGAAGTTAACATTTTCCAACACTGAAAATGTAATTACGATAGATATTCACCTCCTTTCAATCTTCCCACCCTTTCTCCTCATTTTTGGTGCATTTTAATTTATTGCTTAAACCAGAAGTGATTGAAGAATCAGTATAGAGGGAGTCAGCTGCAGTAGGAGGCTGTGTTGCACTCCTATGGGTGCAGGGTTGTATTGCATGCAACAACACAGCAATATCAAATGAAAACCCATGAATTTATTTGGGAGCCCCAAGGCTAGTGGTGAATAAGAAAAGTTTGCATACAGGGGACAGCACTGAATCGGGGAAGCTATATACGAGTAGTTGTGAATATCTATCAGAAATACATTTTCATTGTTAGAAAATGTTAACTTGGGTTGCAATCAGCTTAATAAATTAGAGAAAAAAACCTTGAAAAATATGCCATCAGCTGGGACATTTGAGCATTGTCAAAATTATGTCTAGCTGCATCCAATGGGACAGTACTTTTTTGCATGTTCTGTAATGTGTAGCAGTGTGTGGCAGCTTTTTAACCTCTTAATTTTGTGACACTTTATTCAGATTTTCCCCTTTACAAAAAATGTACAGGTAGAATGTTATACCCACAATTTTGGCAATATTTTAATCTACTAGATAATTTTTTGGTCTGAATGGGCATTTAGGCAAATTACTCTTATCATAATTTTAGATAACCACTCTCCAAAAAATTATCCTTTGATGTAAATTATTTATTACTGATTTTTGAATAATAACTTAATAAATAAATAGATGTATGTTTGACAGCATATATATATATATATATATCTTGCATACCTAGGTTTCTTGTATGCAAGACCACTTATTTTAAGCAACAATGCCAATAAATATCAATAAATATAGAAAGGTGGTTGTGTTTAAGGTTAAATCTTCAGTAATTTCTACTTGTTATTCAGAAAAACAAGAATATTGTGTTTTAACTTGTTTATTTTACAATAAGATGTTTAAAGAGCAAGGAAGTTTATTTAAAGGTGTATGCATTGATTTGATATTTATTAAAACCTTATATTTTAAACCTTAAGGAGAAGTACATTAAAACATACAGGTATTGTGTACATTGTAAGTATTCAGCATTTATATCACAAAATCAAGAATTTAACTTCATTCATAAAACATGATTACTTGAACTTTTTTTTTAATTATTCATTTTTAATTCTATGTTTGCTATTTAGCTATGTGTTAAGAGTAATGTGTATGGTACTGGGTGTTGTGGTTAAAGAAGAAGGAGAGACAAACCGTGATAGGTCCATGAAGGTTATTGTCACCAATCATGTCTCCACCTTAGATCATTTGGCAGTTGACCTGGTACTTCCTTGTGTGTTGGTAAGTAGTTAAAGTTGTTTGAGGCTCAAAGATTCTGCTCTTTCTTTATTTTTATTCTTGCTTGTTAAAAGAAGATAGTACATGTTTTGGTCTACATAAGAACTATATAACACGTGAATTTGTTTGTTTTACAGTGTCGTAGTTAGAGCTGGGTGAATTAACATTTTCCTATGAGGATCTTTTTCTGTGCATGTCATAAAGTTTTAGTGAATTACATTCAAAATTTAATCAATCTACTTTCTTATCATTTTATACAAATAAATTCAACATGAAAATGTATAAGTTTTAAGTTCTTAATTTTATATGTCAATATTTAAAAAAAATCCTGAATTTCTCGTAGTATGAAAATTGTGACACACACTCTCTAGACATCCCCTCTCATCTAATTTATTTACTATCCCTCCAACAAGTACAAAATTTAACCTTAATTACTCATTATAATGTTTCCTGGCAAAGCATAATTTTTGTATCCTTCAAGCTTATTTAGTTACAGAGCCATAAAATAGAAAATCAGACCCCTCTTACCATGCCCATCTGTCACATCCTCTCTTTCACCAATTGGCAATAGTACCTTCTGATGTTTAATACCATATTAATTATAATCAATAGGAAGCCAGTGTTTTCATTTATCAAATGTTGTATTTCATTACATTGTTTTCTGTACAGAAAATTGTCTAATTCACTTCCATTTCAGACTTTACATTCCCATGGGAAATACACCAACAAGGCTAACATAATTTTTTATTGGCTTTTGTTGCATAGTTAGAAAGCCAGAAAAATTGGGTTAGTTATAGGACATTGTCTGCTTTTTATGTGTTGTTATTCTGTGTTCTTAGGTGTATTTTTTAATTACATAAAAAATTATTTAGGGTGGTAGTATTATTATTATTACTATAAAAATTAGGCTTAATTTTCATCGACAATTGACAACAAAAAAAGAAGACTCAGGTAAGTGCTATAACTCTTATATTTCCATGTCTATTTTTTATTTATTATTTTAAAATCAACTAAGATATGAAAATTAGAAACTTCTTAAGTTAGATAAGGTTAGATAAGGTAAAAGAAAGGAAAATAATAATAGTAAAGATTTTCCAAGAGGTATGGTTGTCAGTAGCCCATGCATTATGTAATTTGAGAGGGTAGTTTGAGCTATATGTTTTTCACAGGATTGACAACTTGTGTGGTGGGATTATTAGTTAGACATAGTTCAAAGGGCAATAAAACAATAAAATTTAAGTAGAGACAGATGTATACTGTAAAGATCTTTAAACTATTTAGGATAAACAATTGTAGTTTCCTGTTACAACTTGCAGTCATTCCAGAAAGAAAAAGGGATAATTTAAAGTTATTTCCTAAAACTTTCATAGTGGTTATGAGGTCGGTCAAATCAACTGACTAGACCCTGTGTAGAGTTATAGTATAGAAAATAACAGATAAAATATAAAATGTTGCTGAAAAAAAACCAGAAAACTTTGATATTTATTTAGGAGGTTTTAGGGTGTACACAAATGAAATTGTAAATTTTCAGATGAAGAAAGAAGGTATTTTTAATATTAACATGAAAATCACTTTGCACTTGGAGCAGTCAACACTCTGACTCCATATAATTATGGAAAAAGTTTTTGTAAAAATATTTAATTATAAATTTTGATTTTTTTTTTGCCTACAAAAGACTTTTAATGTTTACTGAAAGCTTGCCAAATTTTGTGAAGATATATTAAATACTTTCAAAGTCATAGTATGTATACCATCAGGATTACATGGTGGTTATGATGTCATGTAAAATACAAAAGCTGGTTGCGATAGGGTTAAGAGATTTATTTTCATCAGTTAGTATTGTTTTAGGTTCTACTACAGCTTATAACATACACTTGATACAGGATTGATTTTTCCTTGTTTAAAAATTAGAATCCTTGTGAGAAATATATTTTTTTGTATTGATGTTTAAAATAAGTGAAAATAGAAGTGGTATGACTGTATAAGTACTGACTTAAAAAAAAGAAATTGAAACAGGTGTCAGCCCAGCATGGCCAGGTGGTTAGGCTACTTGACTTGCAACCTGAGCATCGCGGGTTTGAATCCCCATCCCACTTGCCCTTTCAGCTGTGGGAGCATTATAATGTGATGATCAATCCCACTATTTGTTGGTAAAAGAGTAACCCAAAAGTTGTCAGTGAGTGGTGATGACTAGCTGCCTTCCCTCTAGTTTTTCACTGCTAAATTAGGGACAGCTAGCACAGATAGCCCTCATGTAGCTTTGCACAAAATTTGAAACAAACCAAACCAAAACAGGTACCATGTTTACCAATTCTATAATATATAACTGTGATCGTATAGCTAAATGAAACAGTATAAATTTGCCAACCAAAGTAGGGATTGAAAATTGTTCTACAATATATCTAACTAGCATCACTTTATTTGTTTCTGTACTTTTTATGCATCATTTATTTTGTTTTGAATACTTCTTATAACAATTCTACAAATAACCAACAATCTCTATTTTTTACTTTTTTATTTTTTATTTATTTTACTATTTTATTTGTATAGTTTTTATATGTCCATGGAATGGACACAACATCTATAAACTTTCAGTATAGCCATATCTCTGATAACTATAACTTTTACAAGAACTAAAACCACAATCACAAATTTATAAAATGTAATCCTTACTTTGGCCAATAGATAAGTGTATAAAGCTGCCAAATTAGGGATTAAACTTTATAAATTTGTGATTATGGTTTTAATT